CCCGGTGCAGTCCCACTGTTCCGCACGTCGCTTGTTAAATACTCTTTTTCTCACGCCTCTTGTTTTAGCTAGGAACCAAAAGTATTAAGTCAAACACAGAATCACGCCCACAAATCTGTGCGAATCTGTCCAAGGTAGACACAATTTTAACTCGAGGAGACTAAGATATAGAGAATTCGCAACATTTAAGCTCGTTTATTCTGCGAAAAATAAATTATTTTGAAAACTATATTTTAAAGAATGATTATTTATATCGCTTGCAATAATTAGTCGATGAAATATATTTTCATTATCAATAACAATTTATGTCTAATTATTCTCGTAAACAACGAATATATTTTTAATTCATTCATTTTTGTAAGCAATACAAGATATTATTTTTAAAAAGATATTTCAAAATCTTTCATTTTCTGCAAAACAAATGGAGTTTTAAGCTAAAAATGAGATGAAAGATGATGATACTAAGGTTTTGTTTATTTATTGGAAAACAAATGATTCGAAAAACATTTTCATAAAATAATTGCTTCTATTGCTTGAAATAATTAATTAGTAAAATTTCTTTTATTGTCGACAACAATTTAGGTCTAAATATTTACATGGACGATATAAATATTTTTTGTTCATTTTTTATAAACGATACGAATGATTATTTTTAAAAAAAAATTTTAAATTATTTCTTTTTCGCGAAACAAACGCGCCCAAATAAAGCATTTAACACCATCATTCGTATAAAAAACGTAATAAGTACCAATAGATTGTGCGCGGAGTTTTGTGCCGATGAAGAGAAGCACGGGTTGATTTGACACGTGCCCGGATCTTAGTGGAGCAGATGACCCTAAATGGGAATAAGACGGTCGTGGCCTCCTTCTTGTTAGGGAAAATAACACGAATAGTTCATGAATTTTGATCCAACGTGCAATGTGATTCATGAGCTTTTAATTTGTTTAATATATTCCCTGAACTTTTAATTTGTTAAATACCGTCCATCAACTTTGGGTACATGTTCAATTCAATCCCTGAACTATATAAAAATGTTCGATGTAGGAACTAGACTGAATATGTACAAAAAATGTAGGGATCACATTAAATAAATTAAAAGTTCAAGGACCATATTGAACATTAGTCTAAATTTCAAAGACTACATTGAATAAATTAAAAGTTTTAAGATCAAATTACATATAAAATCAAAATTCAATGACCGTTTATGGCATTATCCCTTTTGTTAACTGCGGGAAAATCATCCGTACAAAAATTCTCTTTGGAAGGTCATGATAGGCATGGGCTGGGCCTTCGGGTCGGGCCCATATGTCATATGGGCCCGGGGCATGCCACCGGCCCATGATCTGCCCCTTTTCAATCGCATATTCTTCGCCCGGTGGGGACAGCAGCAGAGCAAAACTTTCGGGCATCATAATTGCATCGCAGTCCCCGCTGCTGCCGCTTTTGCAAATGCGGGATGCTTCGGGAAATGCGCCTCCGAAAGAAAATCGAATAATGTCAAACAACATTAATTGCCCCCATTCATTACTTTTACTCAATTCGAAGAAACAAGTCTAGGATTTCATCAGTTCGAGCTCCTACTTCTCGTCATCATATTCAATGATAATTTATTAGGGGATAATTACCCAGTTAATCATAAACGGGGTACTTGTCTAAATACGCCAATTGTGCATTTTAATTTGGTCAATTTAGTCATAAACTTATTATAAGATGGCCAATTTAATTATACGCCTTTCAACCGTATCAATTTAGTTATAAATATTTTGATAATTTAGTAATAAACTTTTTGCCAATTTAGTTATTCCAGATAATTTGGGCCGGAAATCGTCGACGGACTTCATTGGCAAATTATTAATAGGTTTAGGACTAATTTAGCAAATTGTCAAAAGGTTTGAGACTAAATTAATATAATTGAAAGGTTTGTGACTGAATTTGCTACCTTATAACAGGCTTAGAATTGAATTGGCGCAATTAAAATGTTTATGATGAAATTGCCGCTACAATGTGTTGATAACTTTTTTGGACAAATTTTCTAATCGTAATCTATTGTACGGACACCAATTTGATCATAAACTTTTTGATTTTGTCGATGTAGTCTTAGACTTTCATGCGAAATTCCGATGTAGTCCAGGAGAGGAGAGGGGAAAATATTCAATCGACCGGCCAATCGGGTCGGATTTGGTCAACTCCCGCGATCATCCCACGGTCAAACGTGAAAATCCCAAGATGGGGAACCGGAGGGTCGCTCCAAAGAATCGTTGTTTGCCTCTCCATTACGAGACACGAACGAGGTCTAGATCATTGTCTAATGAAACATTATATCACGTAATTAAAAAAACTAATCTTGGATTAGATACGTATCATACATTAGAAGAAAAGGGCCCGTCCGCTCTTAGTGCTGTGTACGTGACGAGGTGAGCAACTGGTTTTAATTAGCAAGTTAGGCACGTTCCACCATCGAAATCTTGACATTTTCCTGTTGTGGGATTATTCAAATATATCCGCTTTGCGTGAGCTACATGGAATTTGCCTCCTTTTTATTTTTTTAATTGGTTGAATAAGACTATCTTATTCCATATATATATATTTTTTTATTATTATCCTTCTCTTGGACTGTTTCGAAAACAATTTATAATGTTTCGGCATAATTTAGTTGAAAACTTCGTCGAACATTTCGATTGACTTCGTATGCTAAGGTTGGAAGTTTTCGTACTTGGACAATTTATTGAAAATATTCGTGTTGATTTCGTGCATCCGGACAATTCGGAATGCTGATTGTTTTAGGCTCGAATGAGGTAGATCTTGACTAGACGATATAACACCTATTAAGCTCTCGAATTTTTCAATAAATTCAACCGGTCCAATTTGGTCCCGTTCCCTCGTGGAACCGGGAATCGGACTACCCGGATACCAGTTCCATTTTTAGGAACTTGGAACCGGATCGATACTCTCGGAAATCTAAACCTGACCGGCAGGTTCGGTCTAGTCCGGGCAGTGCCCAGTTCGGGTGATTTGTTTTGCACAATCCTAATTTCATGCGTTTGGTTTGTCAACAATAGTAAGTCATGGTTGAACAAAATACGCATGCTTAAGGGCAGGAAAATGCAAGATACTTTCCTGAAAATGATTTATCGAAAAGCATTTCCTTTTATCACGCGGCGCTTCTTATTAGCCCTACGAGATTCCGACACAACCTTATTTGGCTATGGTCGCCGGGCTTTAAGGACGGGGAGCATTAGATTTCGGGATTATAGATTATGGTTAGCATTTTCTCGGAGGCGAGATTAAAGCTTAAGCAAACATCCACCGGTCAGACAATTACTCTTCACGTTTTCGGAATAATTTAAATTTCTCGGCTGTCCTAATGCCCCCAAACATTTGTTTGGTTTAATCGAGGAAAAAGCATTCGCAGCCCCCCTCCCCCCACATTCCGAAAAGAAGACGCATAAAATAATTGGAACTTGGAAACCCTTCTTTTTTTTTTTTTTTGGTAATAGAAAAAGACTTTGTCGTTACTCTAATTATTACATTATTTAACTCACAGTGTTAAAGAGATTAGTTTAATAAAAAAATTAAAAAAAAAAAGAAAGCAAAAAGGAGGAATTAGAAAATCGAAAAAAAGGGGCAGGGGCGCATGCCGAGCGAGCGCGTCCGTCGTCGTCCGCAAGCTGACGCGCGCGTTGTGCGTCCGCCTAACCCACCCCCCGCCCAACAATGACACGTCACCATCATGTGGGCCCCACCCTCTCTCTCGCTCTCTCCTGCCCGTCCTTCCTTCGTCCCCGGCTCCCTGCCCGAGCTGCCCGCCACTCGCCTTTCTGCAGCCCCTGCCCCTTGCCCCAGGTACGGTCATCGGCCGACGGGATTTTCAAAAATTAACCCACGACGATGACAATGATATGGCAATAATTGCCATATTAGGCTCGTCGTCGGTGATTTTTGGATGAACGGACACGTCTACTTATGAGTAGTCGAGTCGTAGCGCGACGGGCGGTGTGCATAAAGGCCCGGGAACGAATTCACCGCCGTATGGCTGACCGGCGATCCGGGCTTTATGCGGGCGAGTTGCAGCCCGTGAAGCCGAACCGAGGACGCGATTTTTTTTGGAGTTTAGGCTCGGATTCATTCACATGTCGTCCACCCGACGACGAAGGTATGTAAAGATTTTCACGCCGACGATAACAGAAATCCAAGACGATCGACTGTTCGGCAAAAGTAAGTAAAACCCCCCCCCCCCCCCAATCATCGAAATCTTTAGCACGATTCGAATCGAACCCGAAAACGTCACGAACAGCACCCTGCAGAAAGCCCGAGACTCGATACGCGGGGCTCTGCCCTGCTTGTGCCAGTAATAAAAGGCGGCACGACCCGAATTTACCTACTGTCGCAAGGATCCGAGCTGGGAGAAGGAGGAAATTCGAATTCGAAGACGCCCATTAATGTCTTAATTTTCGGCTCACTCGGCACACGTAAAGTCGCGATGGCGAAGGACACGAGCACAACGTTGGTCCCAGAACGGAACGGGGGGCGGGGGGGGTGGTGGGCAGTTGAACGTTTTTCCTCCGGGCAGGACAAGTGCCAAGAGCTCCGTCCCGCTTTTTTCCGAGTCTTCGATTCCACCGCTGCGCAAAGAGGGAGAGAGAGAGAGAGAGAGAGATTTTCTTCTCGATTTAAAATTTGCAGAAGAGAGAGAGAGAGAAAGTAGAGAGTAGAGGTAGAGAGGATTCAATCCCCAAATCCCACACGGCATCTTTCTTCTTGTTTCTCCTCCACCTTTATCTTTTTCAAAAACGGTCAGCTTTTCGCTCCTTTTGCTGCTGCTTCCCCCTGCCTCCTGCGATTGATTTTCTTGTTTCCTCATCCCCCCCTCCCCTTCCCCTCCTTCACGTTTTTTTCACCACGTACCCCATTATTACCCTCCCTCCCTCCCCCCTCTCTCTCTCTCTCTCTCTCTCTCTCTGCCCTTTTTCTTTATTTCTTTTTTTTTTTTTTTGGGGCTCTCCTGGTCCTGGGGGGCTCCGCAGCTGAAATGTTTTCTTGGGGAGTGATCACGTCAGTTCTCCGTCGTCGCCCCCCTCCAACTCCAATTCGCGAGCCGGGCACCGCTCAAAAGACGTTCTTTTCGCCGCCCAGGTTCTGAGCCCTGCCTGCCTGCCTCGGTCGCGGCGTCGGAGCGCCTGATCTGGGTCTCGTGATCTCAGCTCTCCTCCCTCCCGGTTCGGTTCGGTTCGGTTCGCTGCTCTGTGGTCGGCTGCGCGACGCTCCGGGTGCCCCGCGCGAGCGGCGACAAGCTCGACGCTCTCGAGGGCCGGCGGTTGCGATCCTCGCGGTTCCGAATTGGAGTGGGGGCGGTGGGGGCGGTGGGGTTCCTTGGTCTCCTCGTGGGGTTTGATGATTTGGGAGGTTTTCCGCTTTTAGGGTTCGAGAGAGATGAGTGTCGTCACCGGCAACAGCGGCGGGGGCGGGGGCGGGGGCGGGGGCGGCAATGGCAAGGTCGAGGCTTGGGACTCGGGCGAGTCGATGGGGAGGAAGAAGAAGAAGAGCAGGGACGGCGGCGAGAGGAAGAGTGTGGAAGGCCCTGAGGATGGTCTCGGCGGCGGCGGCGGCGACGATGACGACGATATTGTGGGCGCCAAGGACGGTGGGTGTTGGGTTAGGCTGAAGTTCATCGGGAGCTGCATCTCCTCAAGATCCAAAGTCGATAGCTCCATCAGCGGTACCAGTACTAATTATGGTAATGTTCCCCTTCATTTTGACCCGACCGCGTGCTTCTTCAGCTTCGATTTTTTTTTTTTGTGCTTTCAGTGCGTTTGTCTCTAGGTGCTGTGGGTTTTGAGGTTTACAGGAGGTTGCTTGAGCTTGGGTTTTCATTCTGTTGGGGGCGACCCGTAGGATTGTTCAGTGCATTTCATGGGTTTCTGCCTCTATGTTTACTGGACCTTGAATGACAGGACCGTGTGCTTCTTCAGCTCCAATTTTTTTCACTTTCAGTGCGCTTGTCTCTAAGCTCTGTGGGTTTTGAGGTTTACGGGGTGTTGTTTGAGCTTTACGTTTTCATTCTGTTGGGGGCGACCTGTAGGATTGTTCAGTGCATTTCATGAGTTTCTGCCTCTTTACTTACTGGGCCTTGTTATAAATCTGTAGTGGAAAGAGCTAGTGAGTTTTGCCAAAGTTGTTGCTGTACCATGGGTGGCTCTTTAGAAGCTCAAGTGAACCTGTGGAGTTTTGTCATCTTCATGGAAATCAGAACTGTGGAGAGCCTCTTCCACTTTTTTCCTCGACTGGAATGAGGAGATAATGACACCAAATATTGTTTCACCATTAATGGGAATGAAGATAATGGAAATCGAAAAAAAAAAGAGAAGAAGACATTTGACAGATCGAGCTAGTGCACCTTCAGAGCTTGATAGATAGAAACCTGACACAGCACTAGTAAGAGAATCCACACTTTTGAGAGGTTGAAATCCATCATTGTTCTACCCGGAATCTAAAAAATTTCAATACCCATATCAATCCAATTTAGCGTTCCTTCTGTGCTATGTCATGGTGGGTTGCAGCAAGGGAAGCACTAGCAGCGCTTTAGGGAACTGTTAAGTTTTTCCAGGAAGTTTCAGCTGAAAACAGAGCGTAGTGGCTCTTATTAGCTTCTCCTTTAAAATTGAACCTCCAGTAATTTCTATTGAAATGTTTAAGAAGAATGAGGCCATGGCAACTAACTATTTTACCAGTATTATGGTGTCCTCATCAAATGATCACTTCTGATGCATGTAGACAATATACTTCAGATTTTAGATCGAAATGCTGCGGCAGCATTAGCATGAATGTGTATGAATTGCTGGTTTTTTTGTTGCCACTGTAAACATTGCTTCCAGCCTAATCCAGTGCCTTTACTGTAGCTGATTCTTTTTACCATCGTTTGGTCGGAGAATTTTGTCCATTAGAATGCTTAAGTTGGATTTATGGCTGATATTAATTTTGGTTGGACTATGGGAATACCTTATCAGTTTTGCAGAAAGACCTTTTTCTAGGTTTATGGAGGTCTTTGTGATACATACATGTTTGCATTGGAGAGATATTATGGGGCAAAATAAGGAGTAGACCTTTTGTTCTCGTTTGGTAAATTGAAGGAATAAACGGCAAGGTTAGGATGTCAATTTCATGTACGGTTTATGAGTCATCTCATAAGGGCAGCGTAATAGGGCGTCGATACTAATTCATCCAATGTTTAGTTTATGTAGGTGTAGCTCGTTTTTTGACGATTCATCACTGTTTTAGACTCATTCATCTTTTCTATTTGCACTTAAAGTTTTTCTTCAGTAAGTCACTTACCACGCACGAACGCACGTGCGCACTCAAACTGCCTGAATGCTGGTGAGTGCATTTCAGTAAAATCTATTGGAATGTTGGTTTGAGAAGCCATTGGTAATTGTTGTGCAGTTATGGATCGACCAGTCATTGGTAATGACAGCTCACGTGTATGTCATGGGATGCTAGTTTGTGACGGCTCTAGAGTAGCTTGAGGATATGAATTTACCAAAGAAGAGTTATCATTGACAACTTTCTTTATAAGGAAGAAGGACAATTTCTCGTTCTGAGTTATTTGCGAAAAAAGCTGAAGTGTCGTATTGAGTTCTGACAAGGTATAAGCTGAAAGTTGTAAGCTAGTTCATGAGTTGTTTTAGCTACTGAGAAGGGGCTGGTGGTGATTGCACAGAAGTATTTTAGTCCATCAGAAAATCAGGTGGGCTATGCGCTGTGAATTGCATAACTCACTTTGATTACGAGTTACATTGTCCTCGTTATCTGTTGTGCATGCAACATGTATCTCCCTGGTTTGCTATAGTCTAACCTAAACATCTCGATGTGTATGCTCATGTTCTGAGGAACTGTTCATGTAGCACGCTTTGGCCTGTACCCACAGTGGATGATTCAATTTGAATTCCTGTTTGGAAAGCTGGCTTGCTGCATACTGTTTATTGAACTGTCCACAATCCATGCTTGCTCGCTTGTAGAATAACCGCTATTTATTTATTTGAGCAGCAGAAAGTAAATTTACAAATGATACAAGCAGAGACCACCCTGCTCCTCCTGTGGTTTCATCTACGACCACTAGCAATACAGAAAGTAACTCCTCAACTTCCAAACTTGAAGAAGAACTTAAAGTTGCCTCTCGCCTGCGAAAGTTCTCATTCAATGATCTTAAGTTAGCTACAAGAAACTTTAGACCTGAAAGTCTACTTGGGGAAGGTGGTTTTGGCTGTGTCTTCAAGGGTTGGATCGAAGAAAATGGGACTGCTCCTGTGAGACCTGGCACTGGGCTTACTGTTGCTGTTAAAACTCTCAATCACGACGGGCTTCAGGGTCACAAAGAATGGCTGGTGACTTTTCACTTTATTCACCTGTTTGTATCTAAATTATTGCTTATTTGCTTGTTAACATGGGTTTTGATGAGTTGCATTTTCGATATGGCAGGCGGAAGTGAATTATCTTGGTGATCTAGTGCATCCTAATTTGGTAAAATTGATTGGGTATTGCATAGAAGACGACCAAAGGCTGCTAGTGTATGAGTTTATGCCAAGGGGAAGCTTGGAGAACCACCTCTTTAGAAGTATGCGGTTGTTCCGTATTGTGTGCTCGACTGCCCTCGATGACGTATTTTACATATTATTTATTCTATTTGTATTCATGCCAAAGCGATCTTTCTGTAGCTGGATATTGAAGTCCTCTCTCCCAAAAAAGTTACTATATCGCTAATACTATGGATATCAATCTCTAGAGAAAAGCATATATATTACCACATTATGGGTCTCTTTTCAAAAGACGGTAGATTTGGGAAAAATAATTACCTAAAGAGTTTGTCGTGATGTTTGACTTGTGTAGGAATTGTTATGCACAAGATGCTGAACGTGTTCTTCTGCCTGAAAAGTTTTGGCGTGAATTGTCTGTTGGATGACTCTGTCCCTGAGAACCAAAAAAGCACACAGCTTTGTGACTCTGCTAAATCAGATTAGAATTGGAAGCCAGGAAAAACGAAGGGAATGGGATATTGGGGGACTTTTTACTGGTCATGATATATCGCTCTTTAGCAACTTCATCAATTCGATCATTTTAGGCATCCTTTTAGCGTCTTCTACGCGTAGTTACTACATCAGGAATTATGGAGTTAATGTTCTTGGATTTTTTGGAGGAAATCCCCAGTAGTACTCTATTGAGGATGAATTGTGCTAAAAGGTTGTTAGTACTTTAGAAATTAAATTAAATGGAAAACATACTTGGTAATTTGGTGACTCTCGACAATATTCTAGATGTGGTTATTTATATGCCATTAAGTATCAGAATGCTAAGCTTGCCTTCGTGTAGCATCATTCTCTCATCCAACCAGTTAAAATAGGTATCATGGCATGCTGTAGTTTCTAATATATTCCCGGTCATTTTTGAAAAGTTGGTGTTAGTATTTAATTAAGCTTTATATGACTGGTGACTTAAGAAATTTTTTCTTAATTTTTCGCTGTGGTCATAAACATTTTATGAGTTAAGTCCTTTGTTTTTCTTTATACTTGGGCTATGTAGGAGCTCTGCCTCTCCCTTGGTCTATCAGGATGAAAATAGCGCTAGGTGCTGCGAAGGGTCTTGCTTTTCTTCACGAGGAAGCAGAAAGGCCAGTGATATATCGTGATTTCAAAACTTCGAATATCCTGTTAGACGCTGTATGTCCTAAATTTATGATTACATTTTGTCTTCCTTTTTTGGCCTGTCATGTTATTCAATTCTTTTAATTATTTGCCTTTCAGGACTACAACGCCAAGCTTTCTGATTTTGGGCTTGCAAAAGATGGTCCCGAGGGAGATAAGACTCATGTCTCAACACGTGTCATGGGAACATACGGCTATGCTGCCCCAGAATACGTGATGACCGGTACGTTATCGTTTTACAGTATGAGCTATTTGACAATGAGAAACGTATGGCTGACCTACGCAAAGATGGCTGAGTAACGATTCTAACGTGTCAAATTATCAAATAGGATAGTGAAAAGAGAATGGTTCCAATGAATGCACCTTATGTATGCATCGTACTGCCGTTACATATTGGTATAGTAACTAATGACAAGCAGACATGTGCACCGACAATGATTAGGTGTTGATAGATTTGAGGACTCCATCATCCTGATCAAATATGCGAGAGAATGATTGAAGGTCATTGACCGATATACCTTTATTTATCCTGTTGTCTTATGTCTTTGTAAATGGTCACGACATGCTGGAATGGTACATATAACCATAGTCATTCTTGCACTGAATGCACAAATGACTTTTCTCTGTTTGGTCTTGTATGCAGTCTACTGGTATGTTAGTCCCCTTCTTTTCGAGTTCTACACGTGTCATCTTTCCATGTGATTGATTATTCTGCATCCTTCTTACTTCTGAAATTTTACCCCCAGCGTAGCATGTGAAGCTCTTGTTTTCATTACCTGTATTAATGGATGTTGTCTTCTCATATTCTTTGTTTGGAGGAAGCTTGATAAATTTATGGACCCTGCAAAATATACTCGCTAGTGGAGAAAGGCTGACTAGTGTGAGCCATAAGTATGGATGGCATGAGTTAGAGTTCCTAGGTGATTCGTATTTGGTTTTACTGGGTTGCACAGGTAGTGGCAAGGGTGTCACTAATATCTACTTTTTTTTTTTTTTTTTGGTGGGTGGGGGGGCAAGTGTTTACTTGTTTTTGACGGCTGGATGTGGGCGAGACATCTGATGGTTTGCCATGGGTCGGTCATACTTGCCTGAACATATGACCAAATGTTGCTTACTTCACATATCCCTGTCTCCTGTCTAGTCAGCTCATATTCACTATTGCAGGGCACCTTACTTCAAGGAGTGATGTCTATAGTTTTGGTGTGGTGCTTTTGGAAATGCTGACCGGAAGAAGATCCATGGACAAAAATCGACCTAACGGCGAGCATAACTTAGTTGAATGGGCTCGGCCACATCTTGGAGAGAGAAGAAGATTCTACAGATTGATAGATCCACGGCTTGAAGGTCACTTCTCGATAAAAGGTGCCCAAAAGGCTGCGCAGTTGGCAGCTCACTGCCTTAGCCGAGATCCGAAAGCTCGTCCCTTGATGAGTGACGTCGTCGAAGCTTTGAAGCCTCTCCCAAATCTCAAGGATATGGCAAGCTCATCGTACTATTTTCAGACCATGAGGGCGGAGCGCATAGGATCGAGCCCAAATGCTAGATATGGCATTCAATCGCAAGCAGGAGCGAATGCAAGAAATAGGAGCCTTTCAATACCGAATGGGACCCATGCATCCCCATACCACCATCAGTATCCTCATCAATCTCCGAAACCGAATGGTAAACCATAGCAATGGGTTTAGACTTAGTGGTCCCTTATTCAATCCCTCTCCCCCCAATTTATTTCCCTTTCTTCTCTTCTCTTTCTTCAGTATAGGAGTTGATTTTCATCCAAACATTTGCGCTTGATTACTGAAATGGTGACGGAGAAAAATGTGCTCGAACTGTGATGTGTTTTCACAATGACATCCTTGTGCGGAGGATGTCTGGCTGGCCAGGTGAAGCATTTCTGGCAGTGTCTATTTTGACCCATATGGAACTCTATTTGGAGATGTGCTGAAGCTTGTTGCCTCATTTCCGTTGGTTTTCTATTCTCTTTAGCTTTATGTTCTCATATTGACCCTTATTTCAATGGCATAGTTTATGTGTTAAGACAAAAAGCCCATATCCATTGTTTACATACCGTTCCGCTAGAGGGATTTTTACCGGATATAGTTTCCATCGATAAGGGCTGAAGTATGTTTCTGGGCTGTTAAAATTTTTATCAAAGACCTCGTTTTAGGAATTTTTTTCGGTCAGACGATTTCTACATAAATTGATTCGTTTTCTCGGAATGTATAACCATTTGCTGGTTGAAGACTGCATATGCACAGTACTTGTTTTGGTATTGAACGAAAGTACAGGAGCATGCTACGTCTGAAATGAACTATTTTGCATTTAAGTGTAGCAACTATTATTCCGTCCTTACACATCCAATGAGTATTTTATTGCACATATTGACACTTAATACGGCCATCAATGCTTATCCCATAACATGCCGATGTTTAAACCCTTCATTAGGTGTTTCATTGTTCTGTCTTTGACCTCCATGCTCATGCAGCTCTCCTAGTGAGCTGCTCTTTCGATGTGCTCTCGAAGATCTTGTCGGCATTCCCGACCTCGAAACCGTCTCGTCTATGGAACTCTTTGACCTGAGAAAGTTGAGCATTGAATAAATACAGGGTATTAAGGATCATCTATAGGCACCAGTGGCTAGCAGATTACACGTGAGCAAATTAGAGTAAAATGACTAACAGAGCAAACTACTAACTATGAAATTTACCAGAACAAGTAGAAGATTACCTCTTTCTCCGGTAGACTCCGAAACTGAGGCAGTACAAGGCGTTCGGCAAACTCAATATATGAACAGGGAACTGATTCTTTGATCCCCTCTGAGAACTGGAAAAGAATTGAATCTGCCACGGTTGAGCTTTGAAGCAGAAGACCATCGGGGCTAACTGGTATGAACACCGATGAAGTGTTAGTCAAGATACGTGTAACTCATCTAATGAGCTCACAATTTCCATGGGAATTACAAGTTCACAAGTCTTAAATTTAGTCACTGATTCCCGGAAGCCAAGCTTCTATCTCGCAAAGCAAGCAGCTGAGCTTATTTCATCATGAATCCTATAAGCAACTATTACCGAAGACTGCGAAATAATTAGCAAAATGGCAAAAGGAGAATGCCCAATTGCCCTTGGCTCTTATGATCTGCTTCATATTTGTTACAACTGTCTGTCTGGAACTCGTAGTTATATTAAGACGGTTTAGTATCATCAAACAAATTATGGCAACTTAAACTACGCTGCATAAGTGAAAATTGGAAGCAAACCTTTCAAGATCCCTCCTTCTGAGTTCAAGCTGAATCCGTTCTTTTCAATGAATTCATTTAAGCTTTTGATATTCCTCAGGTGTGATTTTAGCTGATGAGTCGAAATAGTGACATGGTTCACCGCATATCCATTGACGAGGGTCCAGGCAGCATACTCGCTTTCCCTGCATGACCGGAAAACTAGGCATGAGCCCTTCTTTGTGGATACATAAGTACAGGAGAAAAAAATAAGCTGAATACTTCAGCATAGAGCATAATGCAATAGTAAGGTGCGAAGAATTAATTTCATTGCTTTTTACCTATCTCTGCATATTGGTTGGTAGAAGCTGATCCTACTTGCGAGAATCAGATCAGCTAAAAGGATGAATATTATCTGCATACCTCGCTAATTGTTGAAATTCGGAGTACAGAGGCTTCTCCCAAGTCAAAGCTCCCAATGCGCTTGCCAGAGCAGCATGCTTATTTCCATTCCCAGAGATCTCAACGTATTTTCTAATTATTTCCTAAAGGTAAAAGGTGTTAGCAGAGATACACATCCGTGAAGATAATTTACCTGGACTTGATAAACCAGACCAAACTCATCCCTTTCATTTTTGTATCCCCGACCCCTCCTCTCCAAACCAAAGGCACCGTGTTATTACTGAAGAATAATATTATCGGTGAGTAGTTCACGAGAATGTATCTTATTGACATCCCAATCAAAGGCACCACAAGAATCACCAAAATCGGATCAAATTTCCGAGAAAACTGTAACCTCGCCTAACCGAGACCTCACAGAACTTACAAGGGCATCTCAAACGGTGCACATGAAATGTTTAACATTGACTGAGATTATTGACCATCTTCCTGCTTTTAAAAGCAAGGAATAATCTCGAGAATACATACCTGTGTTTGTGGAGTCATCTCGTCGACGAGAAGTTCAGATATAAAAATTCTGGGTAGAGGCCCATTCACACCGGTCCCACCCTCTGAAAGGGAGTTTCTTGGAGGCGAAAACCACAGGGCTCTCAACTTTTTCGCAGGAAACCTCAACTCCTCTCTCTGTGTGTAACCATAATCCAGGAAAAAGTCTGCGATCGAGTCGATCCCATAACCATTCACCTTGTAAGTTCAGAGACAATTATACGAGTCAATCACAGATGCAAGAACCTAACTCTTATAAAAGCAGTGCCCTGTAATTAACAGAAAGTCTCATGAGGAAAACATGCCGATGAACAGAGGCATGATTTTATTTAATCACTCAAAAACAGTTCTTGAAACACAAAGATAGCTTCTTTCATGTCATTTGATTTAATAGCACGCGGCTTGCAAAACCATCTGTCCAGGGTCCCAGATTTTGATGGAACAATCAGTCTCCTGACTGTTTGCTCACGAAGGACAAAAGAGATCGCCATAAACGCATACCATTTCTCGGTACTTTGGCTAAGATTAAGTGTAATATCATTTCTTGCCAATTCAACCGAATCACAACAAACACTTGCTTAAGGCAACACCACACTGCATCCACAATATCATTCAATCAATATCATGGTCCATTGTTTTCCAGAATTAAAATGAACATACCCCAAAAGTCCTAAATGCGAGATGATCGTAACATATGCGATCTTCATCGGCCGACCGAACGAGCTCCAGGATGGCTTTGGCAGTGGGGTTCCTGTTCAAGTACACGCATTCCATATTCTCCAAGACTTTCCTGAGAAATGATTCAGCTCCCTGCAACCCCTAAAAGAGATTCAAAATGGACCTCGTAAAGAACCGTCTTTCGCAAGCAACTCGACGCACTAGTACTGACTCCACAGTTACAGATAGAGCCAAACGACAGTTACAGGCAAACCACATCTGCGGCGCAACCCAAATGATCATATCGCTCGATAAATACATCGCATATCTTCAGCTTCGGACATCAAGTTGACACGAAAAAGAAGCCGACCCAGATGGAGAAAAAGGACGAAGCACCTGAGGAGGGGATCGGTCGGGTCCAGCTCCCGCCGCGGACGAGGAAACGACGCCGAAGCTCATCCTTCCAACGCCGAAAGACTTCCCCGGGAGCGGCGATTTTCTCGGGAGAACCAGATTCCCCGATTTGGGTCGGAGGGGGGAGCGGAAGGGAGGGAAAGCCGACGATGTGGGGGAGACGTTCTTGACGGCGGAGGACGTGTGGAGGGAGAACATGGCGGACAGCTTCATCGACTGCTCCCGCGGATACGATGGTTGTAGCTTCTGGGCCTGTCCACTTTTTTCGATTTCTGGTGAGGAGAGAGGAGGAGGAGGAGGAGGAAGAAGAGGAACTCGTTCCGCTTTATGCAGCTCTCTTCTCTTCCTCGTATGTGTCTTTTCCAGGTCTGCAACTGTGTTACGGTATATGATCGGATCGATTTGTCACGTCAGCCACACTTATTTTTGTCATTTTATATAATTTGTTACTCTGTTGACCTATATACATATATAGAATTTGTTACTCTTTTTAGGCACGAAAAGAAAAGAAGGGACAATGACATGATTCGTTATATAACTTTAGCTTAGCGTACAATATAATTTCTGAACTTTAACTTAATATATAATATTATCTTTAAATTTTTGGTACATGTTCAATTTAATCTCTGAATTATGTGAAAATATTCGATGTTGTCCTTCCATTAATTCAAGTTTAGAGACAACATTAAACATGTACCAAAAGCCTATGAACCACATTAAATAAATTAAAAGTTCAATGATCGATGTTACACATTGGGCAAAAGTTATCCGAAGTGAACATTATTTCAAATAAGGACTTGAAGTAGCTAAATCGATCTCAAGCAAGAATCTGCGCTCGCCGGCCGGTAAGCATGTGACATTTCCTGTGGCTGAAATATGATTTGTTTTTTTTTTGGTAAAAAAATTCGGAGTGTAAATTAACAAATCCTAAGAAGGAAAAGAAAAAACCCAAAATTCTTTTTTCGTCTGTCTTCCCTCATGCTGGGAGCACGCAAATTCTCTGCTAAGTCGAAGCGCCCAATTGCGTGCTTCCGTCGTTCGTCCTGTCCGTGGGAGCATTTACCAAAAACTTATATTTTTTTTCCCATTCTTCGCTTCTCTCGAGGGAAGAAGACGACCCTCGAGCAAGGCCCACCTTGTAGCGACTTTGCGATAGCCAAACATTTAACCTTTTTCATCCAGAGTATTCTTCGAAGCTTATTTGGATTGGCAATTACATATGCATTAAGAATTTTCAGTCCACAGTAGATATATGGCGGTGCATTCCCGGGGAACTACGAACCTCCAAATAATTTATATTGTGCAGTTAAAGATGATTCGCCTATCGTTCAGGTCATCTCCTATATAGAAATTTTTACGTTTTTCCCTCTAGATTTATCTTATAGTCTGCCGAATTTTTTTTTCATTGTATCGATTCGTAGGATGATTACAATATGTTTGATTCCAATGTCCTGGAGCGAGTGAATAAGTTTGTGTCTGCATCAATATCACAAGTAAGACTGGCATTAGTAAGATAGGAATTCACTTAACTTTGGAGCCTTGCAGGATTTTGTCTCCGTGTGCTTTGAACAAGTGTGGTAACTTATGTTTTACGTGCATATCTGGTTACTGATACTACATAGATAAGCCACTTGCATTCATTGTTTTCAATGGAATTTTGAGTATTTTTAGGATGGATGAAGTGTCAATGCCTTATGCTGGACCCCTTCGATTTATATACCGAATCCAAGCATGATTCCAACGAGCAATGGCCACTCAAAACTGGGGACTTCTTTCCGTAAGCTGGATGGTTTAGAGCAACAAAGAAGTTGCAGAAATCTATTCCTTCCTGTCTCTTCGCTTTCGACCTCTCGAAGGTGCTTGACAAACATGCGGATCAGATAAGATGATTACCGAACCGGACACCCCTCAAGGACTATGTGAGGATATCGAGCGGTTATCATTTTGTAACATCCGTGTGACCCATCTCTCGATTCCAATTGTCAATGAGAGATTGCTTAAGCTCTTGATAATATGTGAATGAGTTATGTATAGGCAATTAGAACATTCGACTGGAAGAAAGAAACCGGGGCCAAGCACTGATTGCTTCGCCGGCGCTTTAGCCATTGCACATCATCATTCATCACGGTGCAATTTAGTGATATTGAGAGACAGCACGTTGCCGATGACTATCTTAAGCAGGACTGGCATGGTAATCTAGCGTCGCAACCCTCCTCTCAGTCTGAGCTCCTCAGGACAAAAACCGGTTCGACGATCATTGATCCTCGAGCAGAAAGCATGTCAAAACTCTTGCCAGTGGATCAATTGAAAGTTTGCTAGTAGGATTTGGATTGCTTTCACCAAATCTACTTTCAACTATTCATAAGTTTCTGCACCCCCCCAAAAGAAAACTGTTCATAAGTTTGATTTGCGGAGTGTCTATCTATTCGATATCTCCATCGATGTCTCAACAATTCTTAACCTTCGATATATCATTTACAGCAACTACTCTTATTCACCTGAATTTACGATTTGGATAGAAGGGACACTGGATGGAGATGGTAATGGGTATAGAGAATCTCATCCCATTTCTACAAAATGCTGAACTTTTTTTTTTTCGCTAGAATACAAAATGCTGAACTTGCAACGTGAGCAGATCGAAGTCGGCGAGAGCGGCTTCCCGAAAGTTTCAAGAAATATTAGCCACGACTGCGAGGTGCACGTTACACGTCCAATCACGACTACGAGGTGCACGTTAAACGTCCAATCAATAATAAGAGATGTGTTAACAAAAAAAAGGGCTAAAGACACAAAAAGTTCTTGAACTTTGACTCAATGTATAATTTAATCTCTGAACTTTTAATTTGTTCAATGTAATCTCTGAACTTTAATCCAATGTTCAATATGGTCCATGAACTTTTAATTTGTTCAATGTCATCCCTGAACTTTTGGTACATGTTCAATTCGGTCCTTGAACTATATAAAAATGCTCAATGCAGTCCTTTCCATTAATTCAAGTTCAAGGACTACATTGAGCATTTTTATATAGTTCAAGGACCGAATTGAACATGTACCAAAAGTTCAGGGATGACATTGAACAAATTAAAAGTTCAGGGATCACATTGAACATTGGGTTAAAGTTCATGGACTATATTGAATAAATTAAAAGTTCAGGGATCAAATTACACATTGGGCCAAAGTTCAGGGACTGTTTGTGTGATTTTCCAAAAAAAAAAATAACACTAGTTTGGGCCTAGCAAAACAACCGGGCCGGTCTGTTTGGGCCAAGCCGAAATTGTTTTTTCAATGGACTTGGCCCGTGTGACTCCCACTTAAAATACCTAATTTTATATGTACGAATTTAATCTCATCGTCATTCCTCCGCCCCTTTTTCTTGGCCTTGCTTGGATCGTAGTATCATCATTTAGCTGAATTAGGAATCTTCTACTTTTCTCCGAACCATCCACATCTTGCCAAAGTTTCAACCCACTTGTGATCATCTGTCAGTAGCCAATCAAAACGTAGGACCAACAAACTGTGACGCGTTTCATTAAACAACCTTTCCCTCAACTAGCAAAAAATCCCATTTACGGCAAAAATTGACCCAGCTAGCAATATGCACTGACGCAGAATTTAGTGCATATTCTTTGAGCGCAATTAATAATTATACTATTTACAACGACGCAATTCGAGATTGATTGCGAAATTCGAAAATGAAAAGTGCACTTGCTAACACCAGAGGAAGGAAAGATCTCTCTGTGTACTAGTCATGTTGAAATTGTCCTCTCGTTTTTTGCCTGACCCTACTTACGATTGTTATTCATTAGTTTCAGTAGCATCAGCAGACACCAACCTTGTGACACGGCCCAAGAGAGCGAATGGTTCCGAGCCCGTCCATGTATGAGACACGGCCCCTTACGTGCATGAGACGTGGCCCATCCGTGCATGGGACGTGGCCCATCCGTGCATGGGACGTGGCCCATGCAGGTCTAGGTGCGAACATCATTTGCGACCCTTCAGTGGCCTCTGACACACGACTCTGCAGTTTCCCTTGGTAGACGTCCCTTGAGCTTCCCCACGTCCGCAGGGCCCCTGCAACTTCTTGAGTAACTATGTAATGATTATATCGGTTCAAACACCACCGTTGGATCATGAGAGGATCAACGGATCGGATTAGACCCGCACTTGTATATATAGGGGACCCTCCCCTTTATTTGTACATCCTCTTTCTTGCAAGAAATATAACTACACAGCTTTCTCTCCATTCTTGTGAGTTCGAGTGTATGTGTGCAGGACTGACTAGGGAGTAATCCTAAGGCCGCACGGGTGTGGGATCGTTGTTAATCGATCGACCCGTGACAAGTGATATCAGAGCCTTCGTTAGCGCAATGGTTGATCCACGTTCCAGTGCCGCGAATGTCCAAGGTGAGGATTGCGAGGATCGTGGAAGGGCGACCGAGAGAGTCGGTGTCCAAACCAGGAGGAGTCGTGCTGCCTCCAGCTCGAGGGATCAAACGGGTGACTTGGAACGTTGCATGACGGCATTAGAGGAAACCGTTATGGACGTCCAGGGGATGGTCGATGACCTACAACAAACCGTCGAAGGAGTGGAAGCCGGAAGGGAGGAGCTCTTGGCCGAGATGCAAGAGCTCAAAACCAGCATAGGAGAGCTTCGCGACAAGGTGTTGGGGCCCGTGACTCATGAGCTGCAGCAGCGGGACGAGACCTGGGAGGCCGCGATGACGGCCATGCGCTCTGAGATGGCCGAGCTCAAAGGGAAGCTCGCGGATGTAAAAGCAGCACGCGTGAATGGGGTGATCACCGTGCAACCACGTATGGACGCACCCAAGCCGAGAGAGTTCAAAAGATCGCGGGTGGCCAAAGACGTGGACAACTTTCTATGGTACATGGAGCAGTACTTCTAGGCCACGGGAATGAACGACGACACGGCCAAGGTAAATACAACAGCAATGTATTTAGCTGATAATGCCTTATTATGGTGGCGTCGCAGGTCAGACGATAGGAGTGACGACCCTATCACGACCTGGACCAAGTTCGTCGAGGAATTTCGACGGAACTATTATCCAGCTTATGCGGAGGAGGAAGCTCGCGACGAGCTCAAACGCTTTGAGCAAAGAGGCATCGTCCGTGAGTATGTGAAGCGGTTCTCGGAGTTGCTACTCCAGATCCCGTCAATGAATGACACGGAAGCGTACCACCAGTTCATGAGTGGCCTCAAGCCGTGAGCCAAACAAGAGCTCAAACGGTGCAACGTGAAAGATCTCACGACAGCCACTTCCGTGGCGGAATCCCTAGAGGAGCTTAAAGCCTTGCTTACAGCTAAGCTCGACTTTCATCCGAGGGATAGGGCCAATGGCGGGGGAGATCGGAACAAA